GCAGCCGCTCCGCTCGCTCTGTATTTCTTTACGTTGCCGTAATAATAGTGCCCTCCCTCTCGGTGCTCTACTTTATCACTGCTCTTAACGCGGTGTCCTTTCTCGGCGGGCCCCCGTCGCCACTTGCCCCGTGCCGAGAGGGCTGAGGAACAGAGAGTACTTGCTGTGCTGGCACTGCCTCTCGCAAGCTCTTCAGTGCCCTGCTCAGGAGTTCAACCGCTGGAGCTACACCAGTGGGAGCATGGGCACGGATGTGGGGGAAGGTCCTTCGGAGTGCCCTAAAGTAGAAATTCCTGTGCAGAAGCTGTATACCTTCAGCTGACCCTGCATTCTGGAACTCGTCGTATGTAACAAAGCATCATACCACGGCCTATAAATGTTGGGGGGGGTTTCCAGTCGTCGTGGGTTGACCACGGCCAGCAGGTAAACACCCTCACAGCCTCCTTGCTCTCTCCCCCTCGGTGGGATGGGGGAGAGAGTAGGAAGAGTGAAAGTAAGAAAGCTCGTGGGATGGGTTAAAAGAGAGTTTAGTAAGTGAAGGAAAGGAAATATGCAGGGGAAATAACATTTTTTTTTAAATAAATTATTTATTTATTTCCTTAAATGCAAAGGAAATAACTCACCAGCTCCCACAAGCAGACCAATGCCCAGCCACCCTTCAAGCTATTGTCTACCCAGAAAGACAACCCCACCACCACCTTCTTATTCTGCTACCCTGGTTTTATTACTGGGCATGATGTTATATGGTATGGAATAGCCCTCTGGCAAACTCGTGTCTGCTGTGCCAGCTGTTTCCTCTTGCTTGACGCTGTGCAAGTGCTGTTCAGCAATGGCCAAAATGTTGCTGTGCTTGTTTAGTCACAAAAGGCAAAACACAGCAACGTACAGGCTGCTATGAAGAAAGTCAACTCCATCCCAGCTGGATGTGGTACATCAATTTTTAAAATAATTTAAATCCAAACAGAATAGGCAAGACTTTTAGGGCCAAGCGAGGACAAACAAGATATCCCACCACCTTTACAGGCAATGCAATCAGCCTGAAGCTTTCAGTACTAGAACTACTGAGTCTGATCATATGCTAGGCATTCATTCTTAGTTTTGACATTGGGAAATTAGTTCTTTTAGTTTCTGCCAGCATTCAGAATGAATCTTGCTACTCTACATTACTAGCTAGTTCCAGTATCAGCTAAGCAACAACTTCAGCAGCAAATCATGGTCTAGAATGGGCTTCAAGCAGGTTCTTTCAAGGCAAAAGCAAAATAACGGCAGTCAACACAGAGCCACTGGCTATGCTAGAAATGCTCTGCTATCAGATACAGAGGTCAAAACTGTAACCTACATCTACAGCTTTATTTTCCTCATTGAGACCTAGACTGTTCCTTCCTTTCCAAGTGGAAAACGACTCGGTGACTGAGCCTTTCCTTCGCCTTCCTTTGCACTCTAGAGCCACATCTGCTTGAATCCTTGTAGCAATGACTATCACTCTGCTGAGAGGATGTCTCCCCTTTCAGTTTCAGATGAAATACAGCTATAGTCCGCTCCTGGTTTTGATACTTCAAAGTGGTGTGTTGCTGGAGAGAAGCTGATTTAAATCCTCATCTTTAAGCTTACATTTTTAAGCATACCACATCAAATAATGACGATACCGTATTTAAAGGCTTTTTGAAATGCTATAGCCAATATTGGCATCTCCAAGAACCTTCTCCCTTTTTTTCCAGTATTGTCATAACCTTTTTCAAGTTACCACAAAATCCAGCCCTGATTCAGGGCTGAACCAGAGTTGTGAGGGAGATGCCAGGCTGTACTCATGTCCTTGGGCCTTGTTATAGAACTGATTTTTATGCAGGCCTCCTCTATGAAGTTCTAATCACTGCTATACAATTATGAATCTAACTGGTAGTTTTAGAAAGGTATTATTAGCTACCATTATTGAACTTTACATGCAGGTAAGTCTCTCAGCTTTGTGTTGTTATATGATAGCATGCTCTGTTCGCTTCAGAGCCAAGATCTACCAAAAGAAGAAATGGTGCCCATGTATGGATAAAACCATAACTTCGAATCAATCAGCCTAAAATTTTCATCAATCTGTTTCAAAACCGCCCCCTACAGAGTATTTAAAACTCTAAATAAATTCCTTTCAAAATCCTTCATCATCAGTGGGATTGGTGTTTAACCTGGTTCTGCATAACCACTCTAACAGCAGAGTACCTGTCCAGAATTTCCACCAGCATCATAGAGAGCATTTAGCACTTTCAGTCCCTCTATATGCAGAACACTGAACAATTAGTAATAAACTTTTTTTAAAATGTTTTGGTCTCACACCCTAAGACTGTTTTGGCTTCAAGAAGAGTTTTCCCATGGTAACATTCATGACACTCAAATATGTTACGAATATGTGCAGCCTAGTAGTCTGATTTATTTTTCTAAATAAATATATGGTCCTCTATGTCCTTAGGAAAATGGTGTCTGGTTAAGAGAAGCTTAGCTTTGCTAATTTGTGTGTACTTAAGATTTTTAATTAGGCTTCCAAAGTATGTTCCGCATTCTCTTATAGTAGACCCTTTTGGACTTCTGGCTGGTGAGGCCATGTAGTTTAACTCTTTTAGATGCTGGGAAAATTTAGATACTGGAACAGAGCCATTGTCTACATTGCAAATGGAGATGTGATTGCAGCAAATGAGGGCACGTAGATAGCTTTAAGATGACAAACTCCACTACCCATGCCACTATTGACTATGGTCGTCATCTGCTCGCGTCTCACCGGTTTTTTCACCGTGCTGTTAGTCAATGCAGTTTGAGAATTAGGTGCTCCTGTATGCTGCGTTGGTCAGACCAAAACTGGGGTACTGTGCCCCAGTTACCCTGTTTTGGTTAGCTGTTCTGTACTCACTGCTGTACACCGCAGGGGATTCCTCAAGAGCACAGCTTCGCTTTGGGCCAATTCCTCAAGCCCCGTGGGCACCTCAGTGATTAAAGCAAGCCCGAGCTCTTGGGGACGCAGCCGAGGCACCCCTCGCTGTGGCTCTGCTCTCCACCTGCAAAGCTACTCTATTGCCACTGGTGGAATGGACTTGGTGTCAGCGTTTGGATTGCTGCAGCGTCCTTACGTCCCATCCTCAGCTGAACGTTGCGCAGCCAGTGGTGCGAGCATAAGCCAAAACTGACTCAAGCCAAGGACGAATCGTGTTTCTTGGGGCTGGACTCTGTTTCCTCTGCATCTTGAACAGAATGAGTGCATGCTGGCACTTCATAAGTGACACATGCATAGTAATTAAAACACATTTGTGAGCATCCTGTGTAATTCAGCCTTGGTTAAAAATAATAATATATTTGATAAAGCAATATAGGAACATTTTAATTTTTACCAACACAGTAAAATACCTATGTAATTAATGACTTCCTTGTGTGGGCATATCTGTAGTAAAAGTTACATCAAACCTGCACTTTACTCTTAACTGACATGACAGATCATGATGACTCCAGACTATTTTCTTGTCTTGTTTTGTTGCAAGTTTCAGTTAGGACTGAGACTGGGAAAAGATCTAGAGAAAATTTTTCAGATTCCAAGGCACTAACAGAGCCCTCATAGAGGGAACTGGTGACCTAGAAAGAGTTCAGGCCTGAAGCCATGAGGCAGATATAACTTGGAAGCTGCAAGAAAAGCTTAAAAATGTATTAAGAAAATAAACTGTGTTTAATTTGTGACATTTTAATCATTTCAGAGCATACCAGAAAGGTGACGTTCCCGAGGTGGGGTGACTTTAATGCCATATGTTGGCATGATGTGCTTTAGAAGTGAGCTGTGCAACAGCAGCACTGAGGAAGGTATCATAGCTTTGATTTATTTTTTTTATGCTATAATATATGCTTCTTTTGACGTTCTGATCCAGCTATAACGTTTGCAGTGTCAGATGTCTGTATTCTTACAGTTGTCTCTCATTCCCTGAGCTTTTTTGTATTTTATCATGTGGCGCACTTCAGTGCTCTAGCGCTCTCATGAAGTCTTTGCATCTGACTCTTCCTCATAAATTATTACCTGAAAAAGAAATACATAATCCATCAGGTCAAAAGAAA